GCCCCCTCCCCCCCCCCCCCGGCCCCCCGGCTCCCGGAGCAGCACTGGGCCCCTGCGGGCACGACGACTCCTGCGCCGTGCTCTCCTCCTGCTGCAAGATGCCCCGTCTGTCCAGGACGCTGCAAGGACACAACCACATCGTCAGACTCGCGCCTGCCCTGGAATAGACATCTCCTGCAAGAAAAGTGCTGATGAAAGACAAACATCAGGGGAAGGGACCCCTCTTCAAAACAGGCTGTGCAGAGACTAGGTTAGGGCTATGTTCCTCCTGTGAAAACCAAGCCTCCTGGGGAGCAGCCCAGCTCTGAGTGTGGGACTGCCAAAACTAGTACCCTGGAATCCGCTGCCCCAGGGAAGGGCAGCCACTCCTCCACGGGCTCCCCAAGCACATGGTGATTGGAAGCACATCACAAGCTTGAATCATAGAAGATATGCAAAGAAGGCAACACAAGACCTTCCTCCCCAGAGCATCCAGCCATGTTGCAGCAGACCTCTAGAAGTTCACTATATACAGAGCGCTGGCAGAAGAGACAGGTTTTGTACCCAAGCAAAGAGAGCTCCTCGCAGTCCTGTGCTGGGCTCTGGGGGGCAAAAATGGTAGGGCTGCCCCTTGAGAGCTTACCTGGGGGGCAGGGGTCCACAGAGCACCTCACAGCAGTTCTTCACTATGTTGCCATGGCTGTAGGGATTCTGCACACGGTTCTTCCCAGTCCAGGACCCCTTGATCTGCAACAGTCAGGGCACAAGCTCAGGTCTGCTCCACCAGTACCAGCCCCCAGCCCCCAGCCATGGAGCCCAGCCTCAGGCTGCGGGGCACGTCAGCAAGGTGGGCACAGGCGTGACATGCTGAGGAAGCAATGAGGGACAGAGATGGCTCAGCGGAACAGAAAGACTCTACTTACATCTTCATTGGTTGTCTGATTCAGTGCCACCAGGAAGGTGTGGAACCCAGTTAACCCCACCACTGACCACAGGGTGAAGAAACAGATGAGCACCTCCAGTACAGTGAGGAGAGTTAAGGACTGGGAACAGACTGGGAACAGTCCCAGCCCCAGCCCAGCTGTGTCACTACCCCCCATGCACACCACCCTAACTCTCCTCTTCTTCTCCTAGATGTGGTTTTCTGTTTTACCCTTCTCCCAAAAGCCACAAAATTGCTCCTCACCTTGTACTCATGGGGGGAAATGCCCTGAAAGACTCCTTAGAGAAGCCTGGGCATCAAGGCTCCAGTCCCTCCATAACGCAGGTCCCACTAACCCCAGCTCTGGGGAAGCCAACCCTCCATGCTGTGGAAGGATATGTCCCTGGGGTTTCCTTCAATGTGTTCAGAAACCCAATCTTCAGAGATTCTGGCAATACAAAGACAGAGAGATGTTTTCTCAGGAACATCACACCAAGACCAGTTCCCTTTCCCACTCCACCACTTCAGGATTCCCAACACCATCCATATGCCCCCTCCCTGAGCCACCCACCTCTCCGCAGCCAGACTCACTCAGTGCTACGTAGACTATGTTGAAGGTGAAGATGTAGATGGTGAGGAGTGAGAGCGAGAGGATGAAGAGGTAGAAGTAGCGGTAGTTCCTCTTCCCCACGCAGTTGCCCACCCAGGGGCAGTGATGGTCAAAGCGCTCTGTGAAAGCCAAGACAGGATCAGCAGGGCCCTGCCTGCCCCCAGCCATGCTGCCCCCAGCTCAAACACATCCAAGGCTAACAGGGCTCCCTGGACATTGAGTGCAGCCCTCTGCTAACTCAGGACCCGTATCATGGCCTCCTTCCAGAAGAGGAAGGTAAAAAAGGGCAAAATAATTTACTAATGAGTGGTTTTGCATATTAAGGTTAAGTTTAAGAGCCTGGCCCTATGTATGTCTTCTCTCCCAGAGACCTAAGGTATAACAGCTTTAACTAAAGCAGCACACAGGTTAGGTGAAGGCCTGGTGGTTCAGATGTTCTTGTTTAACCCAGGAGTCACTTTACTCCTTCAAGGATAATTAGAAAAGGGTTGAAGGAACTGCATAAACTATCAAAGGGCCGGGAACCTGCAGAGGAGGAAAGGGGTCCAGCAGGATGGGATTTCTTCCTCAAGAAGGGATGCTGAACACCAGCCAATCATGGTAGCAAAGGGCTGAGAGAGCATCTGCTCTGCAGCAAGGGGAACAAAGCCCAGGGGCACTCCATATAGTGGTGCAATCTCCGTGCTGATGCGAGGAGCTGCTTTCACACAAGAGACAGCTCTGCTGGAACCCTCCAGCCTAGCAAGGCCACAGAAACTCAGCAATGGACTGCACCACCTGCACACTTGTGGGCAAGTTTGGCTTATGTTAGATCAGGTATTGCCAAAGCAGTACTGCCGAAGATGAACCATCTGGCTTTGGGCTCTGAGCAAATCTCGAGCTCCTTGGGCTGCAGACGAGGCAGCCTGTCCCGCTCTAGTCACGCCCCACCACCCTGGGCTTGCTCAGCAGGAGCAGAGATGGGTGCAGATGTTCACCCCACTGCTCCCCTCTCAGGCCTCCTTACTCACCCACACAGTTGTCACAGATGCTGCAGTGCGAGGCCCGGGGCGGACGGAAGATCTTACACGTGTAGCAGTACTTCAGCTTCACGATTTGGTTGTTGATCTGGAAATTCTTGATGCGAGGGGGTGGGCGCTGGCCCTGTGGCACCGTCCCATTGGTGGCCTCTGAGAGAGGATGGAGCAGAGTTCAGACC